AAGACTAGATGGTCTTGCCAAAACAGGGTGACGTTATGAGGAAATAAAAACGAAATTTCATTTTTTTTTACATTTTGTTAACATTTTATTCTCTTTAGAGCTATGACTGTTAAGGCAACGAAGGAGTGTTGTAACAATTGGTATAAACAAAACAAAAAAGTGACAATCGAAAATCAAATAAAGAAAAGTTGAATTTTACACAATACACTCAGCTATGTAAGTTTAAGCAGAGATGCTTAAACTGACTGCCATGGCGCTTCTAGTTTTATAAAACTAACAAAAAAGCTAAAAATCTAATGTATTTCAAGCTTTAAATATCTAATATTTTTGGATATATATATTTTACAATGCTTATTATATATAAGTGTCTTACAAATCCTGTTGAATGTTATATTAATAAAGTTGGGTCAAACCAATGGTTTGTATTGTAGCACTTTTCCCTTCAACAAGTGAAAATTCTGCTTTTAAATACAGTCTATGTATACCTACCGCACTATTAAAATTATTTTCAATCATATACGAAACTATTTCTAGGATTGCATATATTTAGGATGAACGATTTATGCAGTCTTTGAAATAAAGCAAAAATTAATATAAAGCGGGGTTAACATAATGCACGATTTTAAGGTTTAATTGTGTGAATTAAAAAAAATACTTTTATTTTTTAATGTCATGGAATTTACCGTTAGCTTTTTGCGTTTATAGAAATTTGAAAAAGCTTGTGGTTTCGGAAATATAAGGTGTCAAAAATTTAAATTTTGTAAATTTCAAAAGCGATAACTTGAGAGGTGGTTGAGATGGAAAAAAACTTTGTTCTAACGAAATGAACTATTTATTAATATCTAAAAGCTCCTAAAATTTCAAGCTTCTACAGTCTGGGGTCTAGAAGAAAAACGACATCAAAAATTTTGAAAAGAAAGGACTTTAGATAACGGTAAATTTAAACGGCCATTTTGTTTTTCTAAAGTTTAACTATAGTATACCGCGCTAGGAGAAGCAAGCCATTGCTTTTCATTGCAACAAATAGTTAAAAAAGGCCATTTTTAGGGTTTTGGGGGGATATAACTTCTAGAGGGAGGGGGAGATAGGTAAAAATTTTGTTCTACGGAAATAAGTTTCTAGTGAAAATCTATGTACGTATTAAATTTCAGCTTTCTATCTTCAAGGGTGTAGAAGTTTTGTAAACAAAAAAGTGTCCACGGACGGACGGATGGATTTTATGCTTTATGCTTTTTAGCACTTTTTTTCAAAAAATTTTTGGAAAAGTGCTAAAAAGCATAAAGCAGACAAAAAATACCGCAATAAAAAATCTATTCTATCGGTTTATCACTCCATCTCACAAGAACAGGAGTAAAAATGGCGGTAAACTTTCATAGTAAACACTTTCATGGACAGTGAATTTTCATTTTTAGATTTGAGAATAACAAAAAAATCTTGTCCCGAGACTTTTATTTCTTTGTGTAAGTTAATAATAAAAAGATAAGAATTATAGCCAATACACTCTCACACAAATGTAAAAAGACAGTAAAATTAGAAAGGAAAAAAAAGTTAATAATTCGTAAATTTTATAATATGCAAATTTTTTTTGAAAAGTTTTCCCCAAATATCCTTCGCAAAAAAGCAATTTTATAATACAAAAGAAAAAAGGGAAAATAAAAATTTATTGAAGATCGATCTGACGATAACATTAAAAGGCGGATTACGATCGAAAACCTTATGGTTCAATAACTAAAAATAACCTTTAAGTTTTATAAATATGAAAAATTTTTTACATTTTTTATTCAACCTACACACCATACTCACATACATAAGTCTTTTATAAAGACACTATTCCGATGAAAATTTTGTGTTCTATTTATACTTCAGCCCTTATCTATGCGACTCCTAAAAATTATGTGAACTTTCATTTTATTTTATTAATTTTTTTTTTGTTTTAGTTTCCAAAATAAATTCCATTTTTGGTTCTTTTACAACAAAATAAATATAAAAACAAAATTTATTTTTTGCCTTAAATTCTCAGTTTAATTTTATCCTTTCCTTGTTTTTGTGCCTTTTATATCCTTTTTATTACAAACTATATTGTACTATATATGTTTTTTCCCCATTTTCACATGAAAAAAGAAAAATATCTTTTGTAGCCGCTCTAACAGTAGGATTGATTATGGGCGTAATAAAAATAAGACGAAACACACAAAAAAAGGAGCACACATTTACAATTATATATATACATGCAATAAGATTGATATTCTACTATTAAATTAGGTCTGGCATTTTTGGGGACGGGTTAAGGTTCTAAACGTTATTACTTCTTACGTAAGTTGTCATAGAATTCAAATACATGTTTAATGTGTATATTGTGGGTCTGATAGTACAGATATGATATTTTTAGATAAAACTTCTATAGAGAAATAAATATATATTAGATGGTATTAAAGATAGATAATGTCCTGGCTCCTTAATGTTACTTAAAATTAATTTCAAGTAACCTTAAATACTACTTATTTATTTAAATAAAATGTAGGATTTAAAATAAAAGTACGGTGAATCGTTTTAAATTTAAATTTAAAATTCAATTTTCAAGTAAAATTTTTTTAAATTCCAAATGGTAAATGAGACAGAATTTTAATGCATGTTTGCTTTAATAAAATTCAGGAAATTTTTTAACAATTACTTAAATCTTAAGATTTTCGTCAAAATTTAATTTTATATTTGGCGTGACACAAAATTTAAATGAAAAAATAAAGTTAAATTTACTTGTAGGATTAAAATTTATTCAATAAAAATGTAATAATATATCGAAAATTCCCTTTAAATTTGTTGTATGAGTTTTATGACATTTATAATATTTTAATGATATCTAGGAAGAAACCAAAATTACAATGTTCAAATCTAAAATCTATTTCAAAATCAAGGCAACTACGTTCATTCAAATACCAAAAGTAAAATTATTGTGAATTTCTGTGGAAGCTGCGGCTTCAAGGTCAGCACTTTTATGTTGAGTATTGAAAAATTTATTATAAAAATATTAATAAACAAAACTAGGTTTAACTCTAGAAAGCGGTATGTCACTGGTTCGAGTCCAGCTCAATGAAAACAATTTTTTAATTTTTCTGCCGTGACTCGTTCGTTTCAGTGTGCTGTCCATCTGTTCTGCAGTTGAATAAATTAATTTCCATTAGTTATTTTCATAGGTTTAATTTTTATTCAGGCCCTCTTTTACAAAAATTTTAGACATGTTATTATGAAGCACCTAACATATTATAATACAATATACTGTGCACATACATTTATGTGTATAAGAATACCATGTTTATCTGGTAAATTTGCAAAGAAAAAAGAATTTATAAGAAAAATGGAATGAAAAATAATAAAGGTTATCGGGCACCATAATAGTTAATAAATTCATACGTATATATTTATATATATATTTGTCTATTTTTATGTAATAGTAGTGGCGCATAATATCTATGTGTGGCACTGTATATCCATGTATACATAACATATACATAATATGTGGAAGTTTTACAATACTTTAATTGAATTATATTACATTTCGTTGATTATTGTTTTCACCCTGTAAAAATTATGGGGACGGTATGTTCCATATTTTATTATTTGAAGTTCATTATTATTTTCCTGAAATTTTGACTTTAATAAGGATTTCATATTAAAATCAAGAACATTTTTAAAATTTTCTTCATAAAACTTATGTCTGAAAATCATTTATTGAAAACATAATACCAGTGAATAAAGGAATATAATATATAAGCGCTATATATAAAGTAAAAATTATAAGAAATATATGAAGTGAGAAAATAATACTTGATTTTCACCTTGAATTTTGACATCAAGTACATAGCAATATTACATGGATTCGCCTTATAAAATGAATTCATAATTGGATTTAATGAAACAATTTAGTTTTTATACTCAAAAACAGAAAAGACTTATTTAAAATTCTGAGTAATTGTCTATACTTAGAATTTTTAATATACTTCATACAGTCATATTATAAAGAACACGTAGTTAATTTTAATTTTATTATTCTTTTAACCTTCAAAACAAATTTAACTTTATTAAAACGAGAAAAGTTTTCTTTGGAAAATCTCAATTATTTTAAAAACTTTATTATTATTATTAAAAAACAAAAAAGGAAATTTTAAAAAAATTACGTAAAATATTATTAAAATGAGTAACAGGAGAAATCATTATCCTGCAACACGGGAAATATAATTTTATAAGGATAACATAAATTTTTTTTTTAGTTTTTGATTTGCAAAGTGTTGTGGGCTTGAGAGCTAGATATTCAAAAGTTTTTAGTTTTATTCAAACAATTTATGTTCTATACGGTATGTCTAACCTAAAATGTTAAGATAATTTAAGGGACTGAAAAAATCTAACATTTTTCTTGCACATAATATGAAATGCTATGTAAATACGTAGACAGGAAAAATATTCAGGAAGCCAAGAAAAAACGACAATTTTACTTATTTTTGAAATATTTCTATGTTTGCCTATTTTTTTTGTTACCATGACAATTGTTAAATGTGTCCCAAATATAATTTTAGAATAAATATTTCACTTGCCTAATGTTTAAATTGTTAAGTGTACGTTCCAATAAAATAGTTAAGTTATTCACAAATTATGATTATATAGCATATCTTTAGATTTTAGTACGCAGCAGTGTTTAAAATTTGAACAAATAAAAAATAGAAAAACCTCCTATAGATATGCAGTAATCACAAACGAGCAGAACTTTGCATTTTATAAAAAACTTTCAATTTAATTTTGAAATCGAAAAATTTTTTTATTAATAATATTCTGAATTCAAATACAGTCCAGGGATACTGAGGCATTTTATACTTAAAATTTAAATTTCAATATTCTTTAATCAGTCATTTATGCAGTCAGTTAAAAGTTAATCACCCTATATAAAATCTACTTTGTTTAAAAATAAAATATTATGCAAATATTTATTTTAATTCTATTGTTGTTCTTACCAAAATTCAATATATCCCTGATGAATAAGTAATGCCATAAAATCACCAGTAAGGTCATCTCGTTCACCTGTCAATAATATGATACCATCAAATGATTCCGGATGAAATTCAACACGTAGCTGTTTAAAAAGAAAAAAAAACAAAGAAAAAATTTTTTTAATACAAAAGACAAAGTATCTAGTAAGGAAACAGGAATTTTTAAATTTTTTCATCAAAAAAATTTAATTTAATTTTAAACTTTAAAGAAAAAACAAAAAAAAAAAAGAAAATTTTAAATAAAAATTGTGTAGATCTATGTAGCAAGTTGAAAATTCTTAGCATGAACAAAAAAAGTTTCTTTTTAATTCTGCATCTTCTAGAATTCTAGAAAATTTAAAAGTCAAGAATATTTTTTAATAACATGATTTTAAGAATTTTCTCTAGGCATTTCTTATGAAATTTAGTGAAAAAAACTTTAGCTACGTACTAGTTTAGTTTTAATAGCAAGTTTTCATCGAATTTTGCAATAAATTGTTGCAATTTATAGGAAATGAAATTTTTAATATTAATAAAGTTTTTTTTTCAATTTTTTTTCCTAATAATTTAAAAATAATTTTTTATAATAATATTTGATTTTACCTGCACATGTTTATAAGCTCCTCTAAGTGCTGGAAATGCTAGCCATGATTTGTGTGTGAATCTTGGCACTGTTACGTTTAAATCTGAAAGAAACGCAAAAATTTCAAGTCGTAAATAAAACTTGTTAGAAATTTATTATTAAAATTTTAGAATTGTGGATAAAAATCCTTAATTGTCGAATTGTTTTTTATTATATTTTATTTAGAGTTAAAAATTAAATCTTTAAAAAGAATGTTGTAAGTTTCCATTTTTTTCACTATTTCAGGATTAAGAGGACATGAAACTCAAGTTAAGAATTACGAATATAAATTGGTCAAATATTATTAGAATTTGACTGTTTCAGAATTATGAATTGCGAAACTCACTGAAGCAGCCTTTGCTTGTTGTAAGTGAAATAATTAATTAAAATCACTGCCAATTGTTTTGAATCACAAAATTCCATTATTCTTGGTGAGTGATAATTTTATTATTTCCTATGATCTTTTTTGATTTACACTGAGGAATTTAATAAATTTAACACTAATGCCATATATAGGGTGATTGAGGAAGGTATACGATAGTATGAACCATTGGTTAGAGAGCCGAAAATGGGTAAAAGTTTTCTGAACTAGATAACAATTCTGAAGTGTTTCCGAGTTACAAGGATTTTAAGGATTTTTCACGAAATTTGTGCTTGTTTAAGGTTTTTTTACTTATAACTTCTGTTCCGAAAAAGATAGGGGCTTCGGAGCTTATATGAAAGAGAAATTATTTGTATGAAAGAAACAAATATTTTTTTTAGTTTAAATTATTAAATAAAATTGTAAAATTATTATAAATATTTTTTTCGGTTGGTAAATTTCGTCTGAAGAATGTATTTAAATTGTAATTTTTAACTAAATTGTAATTAAAGTGTACTGGAAAGAAACTTCCGACAAAGAAGAAATTGGATTCAAAAAGAAATTGAAATCTAATAATCATACATAAATCTAGAAATCTTTTAAAAACATACTCTACTTAGTATGTTTGTCAGAGTCACAAAGAATACTCTTCCCGCAAAATAAAGATAGAAATTTCAATTGGATCGGAATACTTCGAGAAGGTAAAGCGTTACGAATTGTATTTGTAACGTGCTTAGTTCGCAATATTTTTAAAAATAACTTCAGCTTGGTGACCTGATAGACACATACAATATATAGCATTATTCAATAACATAAAAATAGTTTTTATTTTGAAACTTACCTATAGAAATCAAAATACAAGAGTTTGTTCATTATATTAAACGTATTTGTCCTTATGTGAATGATTCAAATCGATATGACACTTTTAAAGAAATCTTAATAAGAATCAAAAAACTACACTAGATAGTGTTAATTATCGTAGTGTTAGGTATTGATAGTAGCATTACGTAGCATGTGGATGGTTGTAAAAAAGTGCCTTATTTCTTGTTCCTAACATATCAAAATAAGAATTTTATCACCTGATTATTAATTTTTACGTTTGATAACGCACATTTATATATTTGTGGTCAACATATTTTTGAATACTAAGATAAAATATAAAATTTTTCTTTGAAATTTTGTCAATTACGTGTTTGTATTCGTTAATATTATTTTTAAGATTGTCACTGATTTTGTAAAAAAATTTGGAAAAAAAAAATTATTTAATTTTTTTTAAAACACAGGGCTGCATTTAAATGGCCCTACATATATACAATTTGAATATCTATGTACTTAGTTCTTTAAAACTTAAATTTACATTCAATAATAACGTATAAAAATGAGTTTCCTGTACCATTTCCGATTCGAATTAGGCAAAAAAAAAATCTTTCTGTTTTATTATTAAAATTCGTTCATAAAATCATTTTCACATAATCAAAAGGAAAATATATTTTTTATCGCTCTGTTTTTTCGCCCACTTTTCCTTTTTTTTCATCCATGCACAAACTTTTGTATTTTCATTTTTTTTTTTCTTTTTCTATACTTTCGAAAATTTATTTATACTCACAAAAATTCTGCCAATAAAATTTTATGACTATTTATGATTTTCGCTCAATAGTGATCTCAACCCATACCCGCGTCTCAACTTTCTTTATTATTTTTTTTATCCCATCCGTTGTACCAAAAAAAAAGAAAACATTAACACATACGACGAGGAGTAAATAAAAATATGATGCAATCCTCGCATTAAAATATATATATATATAAAATAATATTATATAACAATAAATATGTATGTATGTTTTTTCATACTTATATATCCTTTTAGATATCCTTTAAAAACAACAAAAAAAGGGAGAAAAGTCCCCCATCCCTTAATTCTTCTGCTAAATTTTTTTCTTCATTTTGTTTTTGTTTTTTTCTGATATTTAGAGTTTTTATTGTAATAAAAATAAATTTTATTTTTTTTGATGTTTTTTTTTTTTATTTTTATGTTTCTTTTAACTTCCGCACTTTACAAACAAAATCTAATCAAATTTTCCGTTCTCTTTATACAAAATCACATACAAATATTTTTGCTGTACACATAGAATACATATATAGACGGTTATATAAAATTTTTGTAACAGCGTTGATTTATGGAAGAGTTGGAAATTTTCCTAATACATTTTATATCTTAACGTTATTAATAAAAACAAAAATAAACGCACAAAAAGTAGATGTATAAATGTGTGTATAGTATAAATACAATCTGGAAAAACAATAATAAAAATTACATTGTAAATCGTCATTCCTTAATTTTACCCATTCCTTTTTGTATTTAATTGCCCGGAATCTGTAGAAATATTATGTTTATATAATTATGTATATATATAAATAGATATTTATAATAATAATCGAAATTTGATGGTGTCATAACAGTGTAAAATATTCTAATAAAAGTAATTGTTCAAGAGAAAAAAAAGAGAGATTATATCTCTGATGAAATTTTCACTATAAGACTTGAATATTTAAGATTATTATTATTGAATTTCGGAAAATGGTGGAAATATAAGGTTGTTTTATGTTTTTGTTTTTATCTGCTAATTATGGTAAGTTGTTTTATTTTTAAAGGCAAGTTAAATCAATTTGCAATTGTATTAGTGATATTAAAGAGTGAATTATAGTTGTGTATAATTTTAATTACAGCCAGACTAAATGATTTAAGATAGGTACTGTGTGACAGAAAATAAGTAATACATAATAGATGACATAGTGAAAATTTAAAGCAGAAATCTTATTCGAACAACACAGGACCAATATTTTATACTTTAAGAAATTTGAAATTCACAAAGCAAAACTCTGTAAAATAATACACTTTCCTTAAACAACAAATTAAATACACTTTTCTTTAAAAAACAGGAGAAACTATGTCTAAAAAATGTCATCATATCAGATACTTTTAGTATGAGAAAAAAAATGAAAAAAAGCATGGTCGTAATAATGATTAAAAGTTTTGTTGATTTTTGGAGCTGTAAATAAGTGAAAGAGAAAAATAAATTTTATATATTAATTGTTAAAACTTTAACTTCTACGAAACTTCTACGCAATGATGTCGTTTACAAAACTACTGATTTATGGTGAAAAAATTGATCTAAAAATGTGATTTTTATAGAACTTTATCGAAATGACTTACTACCGCTTCCAGAAGAAGAATTTAAGAATAAAAATTTTTTGTTATAAAACGGCTTATTTGTTTTCCTACAAAATTCATCGGTTTGGAGGAACAGATCAAAATACTTGAGGTAAAAGGTTTGGATAGGAGAATTGAAATGTTTGCTTGGTTACATTAAAAAAACTAAATTGCTACACGATTATTTCATATAAAGGTTTTTTTATTTTATAAGTCGAATCCCATAATAATTTAAGTGAATTTCCTTACAAAAAAATAAAATATATTGTAGCTAAAATACGTGCGTTCCGTGGACAGAAATTGTTTAAAATTTATTTTGTTTAATATTCTTAAACAAAACCAAAAAATAATCTTGTATACAGTATGATTAGGTCTTGATTGGCAAAAATATAATAAATTGATCGCATCCACAATAAAATTGTATAATTTTTTGCTGAAGATCAAAAGTTCAAAGGTTTTGATCACATTCATATCTTTATTTCATAATTTTATTAATCTCGTTCATTCATAGTTAATTTATTGTATTTCTGGTTATTCTCAATGGGGCGCAAAATATCATAATTTTTGATACACACTGCTTTAACTAGCTCGAAATGGTGAACCATAATTTTATCTACAAATTGCCGTAGAGAATAATATTTTCGTACTTGATCTGAATTTTTTAAATTACAAAATTATAAAAATTTTTATGTAAGCGTATTACAATCTCTTAAACGAACATTTTTTGTGTACCTACAAATCTAAAGACGTAGAATTCTCCTACCACTTATATTATGTTACACAAAAACGAATTTTTTTATTTCTCAACGCAATTATTAAATTTTAAAAACATCATTATTTTTAATTTCAAGTAATTTAAATTAAAATTTTAAATGCAAAATGAAAATCTACATAAAACGTACGCAAATACAGGAAAACAACAAATTCTTTTATGCTTCACTCGCTCCTAAAATTATGCTTTTTTTCATCTATTTGAAAAATCACATATTATTTTCCACAATAATTATCCAGTCTTTTTGATTTCCTTTAATGTTCGTAATGTTTTATTTAAACAGAATTTTCCCTTTGAAAAATTCTAATCTGTTTCACATCATTTTACTTAAATTAAATTTTCATAAATTCAAAGCATATAGTGACAGAAATATAATGATGTTGGTACATATTTTACTACATACCCACACATATAATATAGTATATTAATGGCCATTATGTAGAAGAATTCGTGTACAAGCTATTGTTATGTTCTAGAATAATTATTGATAAACGACAAATATTATAATATAGGCACATATGTGAAGAAATATATTGTATAATATACGAATGAATATGTCATAAGATTTCCATATCTCATTATTATTTAAAATTAAAGTGTTTCAAGTATAATAACATGAACAGAAAATCCCTTTTAGTACGGCCACCCATACTAAAAAGTGATAAAATAATTACGTGCGGGATATAAAAAAATATGAACAGTGCCGGTTTCAGGGAAGAT